GCACTGTCAGTTCCAGTTCCAATCCATTCTTGCTTCTCTTTCTATACGTATACTACCTTTCTCCATCTGTGAAAAACCTGGCCCTCCAAAATATATTTACTTATTTGCACAGTGTGCAGTCAATCTTCTGACCCCAGCCAGCCATCACCACCACCTGGCTCAACTGTGGCTCCCATCAAACATTTTTAAAGAGCTGCCAAGCTCATCGTCTCTACTTCCCCACCTTCAGTCACTCCTTGACCACGACGCTCTGATTTCCATTCTGGTAGGAGTCACCAGTCATCTCCTTATTGCCAAATCTGAAGGATCTTTCTCACTCCTTTTCTAACTTGAGCTCCGTACAGCAATAAAATAACATGCAAAGTCTGATCCATTAAAAAATATAAGTACACACATACACGGAAGCTTCTGAGAGCATGTATCTGTTACTAGTAATTATCTCTGAGTGGTGGGGGTTACAGGAGTTTTGTTGGTTTCTTCTTTTCCTGAAAAGATCTGTACTGCTATTGTAACAAGAAATGTACTTTTTTCACAAAATATTTTAAAGCATTGCTTACCTTAGCTGATTTTTCAAAACTTAGGCCTCCATCCAGCTTAAAAAGAATTGTCATGTTGTACCCAGTCTGGTTTCCATGTCCATGAGGCCACCAAGGCTCTATAATAATATTCTTTTAAGAAATAAAATATGTCATTCTAAGTAACCTGTGGCATATTTTTCAACAAAATAATATAGAAATTCAGAACATCACATCAATTTCTCATAGTCAAGCACAGAAATTGTAGGTTCTAAAGCAATACAAATCTCCCTCCCTGTATTATGTCAAATTATAGCACTCCCTAGATAATATTTAAAAATCAATACCAAAAGGGAAGAGAAAGAGCAGAATAACAAGGGTGTTCAGGAAAACAACCCCTCCCATTTCCAATAATCAAGCTGACATTTATTCTACATTCTTAATATTTAGAATTGGAATTTCAAGTCAACTTTTCTTTCAACCCCAGAACTAGAAAGTATTCTGAGATCTTACTTTATCTGAACAGTTACTGCATGTTGATTTGCTCCATTCTTTCCAGCTCACAACTGTCAATTAGAGGAACGAAAAAAGGAAAAAGAAAAGGGAAAACCCAGTCCACTTCTACTCATGAAAGATCATAAGTTTAGAATTAGAATTCTGCATGGAGAGTAAGCACCCATATTCAAAATAATTCACCAATACCAAAGACAATCACAGTATTTAAATATAATGGTTAGGATGTATTTTGGATTGAGGATAGTGGGAGGACTGCAGAAAAATTAAAATATAACACACTTGACCTCTTGAGAGGAAAAAATGCCAAATTAATTATAGAACCCCCATTTTCTTACTGTTAAAGTTTGGGAAAATCATTCCTTAGCTTGCACACCCACAATATGTATGACAGGTTAAAAGTAAAGGAGAGAATAGAAGAAGTACATTTTTCTTTCATACTCAGTCCCTTCCATTTCTTTTGAACACTACTGTTTTTCATTTTAGTACTGCTCTGGAAGTACCACCATTCACCTTGTTAATTTTCACAAAGAGCTTAACAATCCTTTCCCCATGTTGAAGTTTAATGCCGTGCGTCTGCCGTGTTTGCAGTTTAGGGATGGCTACAATCACTTGGCCCGAAACTGGCTTTGAACTGACAACATCAAAAGAAGACTCTATTTCAAGATTCCACTCCTGGGTACGGTCATCTAAAGCATAAAGATAAAAAGGGAAAAAATACATACATATATTATGCAGGATTCATTGAGAAAAAGACCAAAGCAGCTTCTAAACGACTAAGAGCTTCACAAACGCTATCATGATCAGAAGTTCAGTGAAAACTGTCTTTTAATGTTCAGTCCTTCATCCTGAAGAATAACTAAAATTAAGTAGTTTATATATATATCTACTCTAAAAATGTCACAATCGTAAGTCACAAAAACTTTATAAATAGGGCACAAGTAGAAAATTACCAATGAAAAGATAACATAAGGTGGATACACACTTGCTCCTTTTGATAAAGAAAAATATTGAGGTTTTAATACTAAGGGATAAACTTAGATATATCAGAATTAATCAAATTGTGAAAAAAATACACCTTTTAAATGTAGATTATTTATCCAAGAAATATTTACTGAGAACCATCTTCGTGCCATGTAGTTTGCTAAGTGATGGGGCTTAAACAGTGACCAGGATAAATAAACAAGGCCCCTGCCCTCAGGGGCTAAGAGCCTAATGGGATATGGACAAGCACAAAAGTGTGATAATACTAGGATGGGAGAACTAAACAGTAATTAAATAAATAATCAAAGGAGGGAAGTACACCGAACTTACAGAGGGTGAGGGAAAGGCCTTTACGAAAAAGCCACATCTAGCTGAGCCCAGAAGGATGCTTTAGCTAAGTTCAGAGGAAGACAAGCATTCCAGGCACAGCAAAAGGCACGTGTGAAGAGCCATGAGAAAGAGCAATGCCGTAACAGGGACTTGAGGAATGATGAAACTGATGAGAGAGGTCAGCATGACAGTGGAGTCACGTGAGGAGTTTAGTGACTTCACCCTTGATTAATGGGGAGCCACTGAAGATTTTTCATCAGAAAGAATAACATGATCAGATTTGCATTTAAAATGTCACTAGAGGCCCCAGCCCAGTGATATACCAGGTTGCAAATGGAAGGAGCAAAGGAGCAGAGAGGCATGACTCTTCTATCTGTGCAGAAAAGGATGGAAAGGACTACTTGGAAAATCCAGGGATGGAGAGGGGGGCGAGAAAAAGAAGAGGGAGCAAGGCCGAAGAGGAAGGTAATGGGAGAAAAGAAAGATGAGACTGCTGCCTAAGGAAGAGGGCCGACTGTCCCAGGAAGGCTTTGAACTGGAGTTTTATGTTACGTGCCATATAACCCCTTCCTCCACCACCCATGGTTTGTCTAATGTCTCCCAGACTGGGCTGGTGTTTTGGCTGTGTTTTTAAATAAGACAATATGCCGAAGCAGGCTTTGGGCAGGAGCAGAAAAACAGAGCCTTATTTTTTAGGTTCCACAGGAGAGACGAGAGATGACACACCCCAAAAGGCTAGCCGGGAGGTGTCAGAGGCACCAGCGGAAGGTCTCACTCTTTACTGCCACGGAAGGGAGAAGAGCCGTGACCGGCACAGGTGCACTTAAGCCTGTATGATTCACGGCAAGAAGCTGAGCGAATTCTTGTTTAGTGGTTTGTTTTTCTCTCTGTAGAAGTGACAGGAGAAGGCTACCGGCTCAGGAATAGCTTCTCCTACCAATAAGGAGGGGATCGATAACTGTGGCTTTACTGCAAAAGAAAGAAGAGGTAAGTCTGTGTGCTGATCGATGACCAACGACTTCATAGCTGGCATTCCTTACAAATGTGGAACCACACCAGACTTGTTCTAATGATGATCACATCACGTCTCATCACCTACATCTCACACCAGCCAAATGTGTAGATGGATTTGATGCACACTGGAGTAAAACTAATCCCAGACTTAAGAACTATTTTTATTTATTGAATAATTTATCCTTCGGAATACTGGTCACTGAGCCTGAAGTAGGTTTATTCCAGTTCAGCCAATTTTACAGTTTATTCACCCAGAGCCTCCCAGTTTTTCTGAGATGCAGTAAAATATATCAAGACGACCATTTTTTTTAATTAAAGACACTTTTCTCCTATTAAGTATATATTACGTCTCTCAGTTTTCTCTTTACCACATTTTTACTGTTTTTAAACGGAAGTACATACTCCAATCTGATCCAAAGCTGTTTACTCCCTAAAATATCGCTAAATCTTTGACAGCTACATGAACTTTAGCTCCCAATCGTAGTCCCTCTGGCTTCCCTTACTATCTTTTATCTCAAGAAATAAAAATAGATAACATTTACCAACAATTGACTATGAGCTAGGCATTGTCTTATGATCTCAACATGTATTAAGTTATTTAAACATCACACCATTACTATAAGGTAAACTCTATTATTGTAATCATTTTATAAAAGAGAAAACAGAGAAGTTAAGTAACTTACCCAAGTTCACACAGCTAGTAAGTGGCAGAGCTTGGATATAAACCAAGACAGTCTGAAACCAGAGACTGTACACTTAACATCTAAGTTATGCCAGCCTCGTCCAAATAATTTCCCCAAAACTATGTCTTACTGGTGCTCAACTATTACAGTGGGTTGGGGGGTGGGGGGTCTTATTATATAGAAGAACATTTGCTTTAATGATGTCAAGCTATGACAGACATCAAATATGTCTTTTGGATGAGTCTTTACCCACAACAGCACAGATTCCCAAAACTTCTGAACTAGAAGTATGCTGATTGATCACCTAGCCTACTTTCTGATGAGTGTTTAATCTCCTCTAGACCACATGCTGGCAAACCTCTGGTCCCTGGGTCAAACCTGGACCTCTTTCTGTTTTTATAAATAAAATTTTACTGGAACACAGCTGCGATGGGCTGAATTGTAACATCCCCACCCCTCAAATTCATATACTGAAGCCCTAGCCCCCAGTGTGACTATACAGAGATAGGGTCTTTGGGGAGGTAATTAGGTTAAGTGAGCTCACAAGGGTGGGGTCCTATTCTGATCGGATGGTAGCCTTATAAGAAGAAGAAGAGATCAATTTCCCCCTCTCTTTCTGTCTCAGTCTCCCTCCCTCCTGCCACCAGGTGAGAACACAACTGGAAAGGTGGCCATCTACAAGCCAGGAAGCAGGCCCTCACCACAAACCCATTCAGCCAGCACCTTGATCTTGGACTTCCCAACTTCCAGATCTGTGAGGAGTCCACTTCTGTGGTTGAAGCCACCCCGTCCTCAGTATGCTGTCCTGACAGCCGGGCAGGCCAGACAGCAGCCATGCTCACTGTTATACAGTCTTTGGTTACCCTCGGGCTACAAAGGCAGAGCTGAGTAACTGCAACAAAGGCCATATGGCCCAAAAAGCTAAAAAAATATTTACTTCATGACCCTTTACAGGAAAAGTTTGCTGATGCCTAACTTAGAATATTCCCCCAAAAGGCCATCCTAATCTGTTTCTAATATCTGTAATGACAAAAGCCTCTGCCTTCCTTTTTGCTACGCTTGACTACTGGAAAGTCATTCTCTGCACTGACTGGAAATCCACTTTTCTTTCATTTCCACCTAAAGGTCTTATCTCCTACCAACCAATAACCACCAAGTTTGAGCAGGCTCCTCTGCTGTTCCTTTTCACTTCCTCTGCAGTAGAATCGCAAGGGCCTCCAGCAGGAGGACAAATGGTGAAATTCCCAAAGGGTACTGGCAAAATTCCCGCTTCTATTGCTTCTCACGTGGAAGGTTCTACAGTAAACTGGCACTCCTCTGGAGTTCATCCTGTTAACTGTCTGGGGTGCCACTAGATGAAAAAATGAAGGTTATGGAATTAAAAATCCAATATGGGGGGAGAGGGTATAGCTCAGGGTAGACTGCATGCTTAGCATGCACAAGGTCCTGGATTCAATCCCCAGTACCTCCACTGAAAAATAGATAGATAAATAAATAAACAAACCTAATTACTTCCCTCCCACAAACAAACAAACAAAAACCCAGTATAAAGATTTACAAGTCTATTGTGTCATTACCAGATACACTACACTAACATCTTTTGTCTTCTTTTCTTCTTCCAAATGGACGGTAATGCTTCTTCTCAGAAGCCACGGAGATTTTAAATAGTTTAGGTTCACAAAGCACATTTAGAGTCTTAAATAATAATTTTCCTGGTCACTTCTTTTCACTTGCTAATCTTAAAATATAGAATCCTATTTCTAGTTAAGGAGAGCTCCCTCCAAAAAATTAACACCCATTTCTAGAACACAGCTTCCTAGCATAAGTCTTCTAGCACTAACAAGTTACCCTTTCCCAAAGAACACCTATCACCCCAGCTCTCCTGAGGTGGAATGCAAGATCATTTCAAAAATGGACAAAGTACTGGAGATGGGACAGGAAAGAAGAAAGGTTACTTAAAAAAAAATTACTAAATGACTCAAACTCCCCTCCCAGATCTCCCTCCCAATTACACCAAGTTTTTTTTTGCATCCTTTCTCACCCTGACTGATCAACTCTGGGCCCAAGCAGGACAGGAACTCATCCCAACCAGGTGGACAGGCAGGCTGACCTGCTCTCTCTACAAGTTGAGGCCTTCCCTGGCCTGGAGGCTCAACGATGTCCTGCTCCCTGCAGAAGACACTACAGATTCACAGACCCTCGACCAGACAGGCAACCCAGGGGACGGCAGAGAATGTGGTTCTGGCTACTGATCCATTTTCAGATTCTTCCAAAGCTGATTAAGTGGGGTTTCTTTAAAAACAAACGAACAAGTCACCGTGAGCCTGACTTGGATGGGAATCTGCAGAAAGGCAACCAGCTCTGCAGCCCAGGTTGATGTGTGGCTCCTGCTTCACGCAGTCTTTCAAGAAAACTCCAATTTGTGTAGATGTGGCCAATACGCTAAACTGTAAAATCCTCCAAACGTGCCAACAACTTTTATATTCCTATATAATCCACTTCTTTGTCAAGATGTGGTCAGGAAATAAGAATTCAGTTGTCTAAGAAGGGGAGGGAAAGTGTAAGAAGACATGGAAGTAAAAAAACAGGAAGATGGCTGAGTTACATTCATCAAAGTGTGTCATAACTACCAGAAAGACTTACCATCAAACTACACCTTAAGCCTTGCTTTAACTGAT